TACAATATTGTCGAATGTCAAATGGGATTAATGTTTTACATCCCCGGACTATTTTCAACAGCAGGCCAAGAATCACGTCTAACACAGTGGAGTTAAAATTTATCAAAAATGCCTTTCTTCAAACTAATTCTACCCCTTTTCCCTCCTCGCCTTTATTCCTTATGTTGTTGTTTTTCCTGTGAAGACATACACATAAAACATGACCTGAACTGATTACCCGTTAGTTAGATCAACCACGTCGCTGGCGTGAACATAAGCCAACGTTAACGATACATGTAGTCGACAATCGCCACATACGAGGGGCGTCCCATAGGTAGTCGGCCTAACTATATTCTCGATTCCCAACTTTATTTTGACGGAATCATTAGCAAAGCCATTCCAAGCTTTCACAGATGTGGGTTATGTGGTCATCACAAAATATGTTCAGCATAGTATTGGATGACTTCCCGTCATGATCAACAGTCAAAGATTTGGATTGCCTGATTTATATTTAGTTGGGGGCTACTTTTTAAGGACACTCCCATTTTAATCTTCCAAAAACTTTGTTTCCAGATATTCAAGCAGGCACTGTTTACAATATATTGAGTGCTGACACTTGTGTGACCATTCAGTATTTAGTTTGAACCCTTGGCATCATGTATGAATAAGTAAAAATATTGGAATAAATAATGTCCTTATGATTACGTCCTCGAAAGGGGTTGGGTAGTGTCTCTACAATACGCTCTTTCAGCAAACGTCATGATGGGACTCACTTGACCAAGCGAAAGTAGTTTCAAATTCCATTTTTATGCACTTAGATAAGTAAGGTTGATTCTAAAGGGCTACTGCCTATCTCAAACACACACAATATTTCTTGCATCTGTTGTTTCAGGAAGTTTGTGATGCATTTATTGCAGATTTGTTTATGTTTTTGTTTATTATTTTATTCATTTAATTATTTATTTTTTTTTATTTATTTTTTTTATTTTTTTTATATATTTTCTTCTTCTTTTTTTTTGGAAGGGGGATGAGAGGAAAAAGCAAGATAAAGAGTCAGAAAAAATGGTGATGGTGATGCTGGAACATGGCAAAAGCAATTTGCTTGAGATTGACGCATAACATGTAGAAAATTAAAACATAAAAACAGTTGCATTTGTATAATTTTCAAGGTGAGGCCGACTACTTTTGGGCCGACCCTCGTGTTATCGACTATATATGTCTCTATGCAGAAGTTTCATAGGCTACATATATGATAGATGTTTAGATGACTCAGAATATTGTTGAACCAGACACATTAGTAAGATCATATCCGTTATCCCTTCATTTACCCTCGGTTTACGGTAATCAGATCCAATTGATACTTCAACAAGAATGGATGTAGTTTTAAATCTGAGGAAATACAGATTTTAATGAAGACTTTATTCTTCTTGAACACTCAGAAACCAATATTTTTCTTCATCTTATAAATAGCATAGTATGGAATGTAAAACAGATACACTAGTAATAATCTAGTGATAAACAAATATATCCATATGTCACTTCTTGAACATTTTTATTAAACTATTCCATGTATGACGTGTTTTTTATTACCTTATACAAGTACATGCGGCAATTCTATCAACAATTAACTACTGGTCATGATACCAAGTGTTCGCTAAAACGTACCCGTCACAAATATCTGCAAAGTCTAACATGAAGTCACTAGTTCCCCTAAACACATTACCATACAGGTTAAACTGGGGAAATTGTATCAGACATCACTTTTGTTATTGATGCTTCAAAATGTCCATAACGTGTCTACCATAAAACAGTGAAAAAACCTCTGACGTGATTGTTACTACCCTGGTCAATCAACTTTTGAGCAAAAGTAGCGTGACGCACTTTTAAATCTTTAATGGTTTTATTAAACTCTTGAGTTAAAAAGCTTTGGATGAACACATTTGGTAAGCATTTCTCTAGACACTGGTACTTCGAAATTCTGCCTGGACACTGTCGCTGGGTTTTAGGAGTAAATTTTCCACCATTTGACGTGACTACAGTGCTGTTTCATGCAATCCGGGTTTAATATAGTATTACTTTAACACAAAAGACATTTCTCGCCGCTATTAGCTCCCAAATTACTGACGTTAAGCAATATGCATTCATTCACTCACAAAACCCAGAAGATTTAACTGCTGATTCTTGGCCTGCTGTTGAAAATAGTCCGGGGATGTAAAACATTAATCCCATTTGACATTCGACAATATTGTCTCTCCTTTTCAGCGAACATTAAATATTCAACCACTTTCACATAGTTTTTAAACCTGATAAAAGATGTGTTATATCTATTCAGAGTAGTTTCTGCACAACAGCACCATTATATTTAGTACTGAATACCTGAACTGCCAACTAACGATGGTCTTAAGTATAAACGTTGTTCCTGGTTCTTGTATGCATGTAAATCCTATGTCTTATGCCGCTTCTTCATGTCCTCACAATCATTGGAAGAGCTGAAAAAAGGCCACATGTCCGTAACAGTACCACAATTCTGGAATATACTATTTATTATGTGTACAGAATCAGAGTTAAATATTGAGCCACCATACAGTCAAGTATTCCAGAAACTGATAGTCCATTTACAAGGAAAATCGCTCAGATTAATTACCAAACAAAGTGTTGTATGTTTCACTGTTTCTGATTTGAAATACACAATGCCATTTTAGAGTAAGTGGTCAAATGTAACATATGTTATATTTGGGATTACTCTTTCTTAGTAAAGTACAGATTCTAGTACTCTTTGGGTTGAGTCCCATCCGGTATTCGAACCCACAACCTCAGAGTCAGGGACCTAATCGCCAGCACACAAAGTCAGACGCCTAGACCGCTCAGCCACCGCGGCTTCCACAAAAATGGAAGTCGGGTAACTGGTAGTCTAGACAGCGGACTCTGTGTACCTCTCTGATACGTGTTAATTGGCAGGGCTCCCACGGCTGACAAATTATCTTCTCCTGAAAACACGCCATCTTTACAGTCACATGCTTATGGCTTTAATTTTAATGAAAACTGTTTGTTTTGTGGAAAATTTGCAAACGTTATTAGAGGAAACGAGGACATGATGTGTATCCAGTTCGTACAACAGATTTTGAAAAATCAGTAGTTACTGTCTGTGTAAGAAGAAATGATGACTGGTCCAAACATGTTATGAACAGACTTGAGACTGTATTGGCAGACTTACCCGCAGCTGATGCTGTGTACCATCAAACATGCAGTGTTAATTTTCGCACAAGAAGACAAATGCCAAATGAGATTGACACAGCATGCCATGGGAAATCAACACCTGGCCGTCCAAAGAAAAAGAAAGGAACTGATTCAGGGAGCCCAAAAAGTTCTAAATGTGAACATGCCTTCTTACTAGTAATGAAACAACTTGATAATGACGACGTGGACTAGGTATCCATCTCGGATCTGGTAAAAAGGATAGAGACTGTGTGTCGAGAAGACGCTTTTAGTCCAGTTCACATGAAAAATAAGGTTCTTTATCACTTTGGAGCAAATGTTACAGTCAAAAGCAGTGAACGGCAAAAGCAGTGTTCTCACTTTCACCAGATCAGTGGCAACCCTTCTCCAAGAGTTTTATGAAAGACCAAGACAGAATCCAGAGCAAAAAAAACTGTCTATTGTTAGAATGGCAGCCAAACTCATCAAAGCGAAAATACGATCATTGCCTGTAGAAAAATGTCATCGGTTCCCAATAGCGCAGATCGGTGCTCATGCTCTAGATCACTGGATTGTCTGCTCCATCTTCGATTATTTACAGACCGCCGCCATATAGCTGGAACATTGCTGAGTACGTCGTAAAACTAAACTCATTCACGTCTTTTAATTCCCCTCATGATGGTTGTATGAGCAGAGAAGAGAGATCTCATCCTTGGTCTAATTAGGGGAAAGCGCACGTGAAATCTCCTGATCCCAAATCATCATCACGAAGACGCTGACATATATATTGCTTCTTTCAATACTAGTTTTGAATCAACTTCAAAAGCAGAAATGATGCATCATGCGAGTAACATCATCAGGTTGAATGCCAGATTGGAATCCACAATCGTAGGTTTCTGTCATCGAGTATATGTTATATTTCTTATTGTTTAACTCCGCAACAATATTCTATGTGTGACATCAGTCTGTAATTAACTTAGTCCAGACCAAACAATCAAGTGATGGACATACTGACTTTCGATCTAACCAACAGGAATACGCTGACATGCATCAACCGACAAGCACAAATTGCTAAAGACAAGTTTTGGGACTCGTTTCGGGACGGTTGGCCCGACCGTGCCGTCGCTTGCGATACTACGATAAAAACCCGATAAGACCCGGGTTATGCGTAAAGCCAATATTATAGTATTACTTTTAACACAAAGGCACTTCTCGCCGCTATTGGCTGCCAAATTACTGACGTTATGCAATGTGCATTCATTCACTCCACACAACCCGGAAGATTTTAACTGCTGAAGCTAATAAACATATATGATGACATATATATATATATTGCGGCGACTCACATCTCGATGTCCCTCGCATTAACTATCTGTCGGGGTGTATGAGCTGGATTTGACAATGACGTTGGACGTCACGACATAACTTGATACTTAAATTAGGAAAAATCTCAAGTGAGGCCGGAAATATTTAATACAAAAGAAAAACAATGAGCAAGGAATGGTCCAAAGAGAAATATATTGTCAATGCTTCAGCTGTGCAGATCTACCCGTTTGTCAACCACTGTCAACTTCTTCCTTGCCATACCCTTGAAGGTATTCAACGGGCAATTAAAAGTTGGACCAACACGAATGCATGACACGCTTTTATGGATAACAACATCTTGTTTTTCGTTATACGACGTTTCAGAGATAATTCTTGTCCTTCATCAAGGATTTGTTTCCTGTGTATTGTGCTTGCTTGCAATGGCGGATGCTGATAAGGGGAATCTAGTATTTATAGAGCAGTTGTGAAAAGCTACGTGCCGGGGGTTAGTCGTAAATAAAGTTAACTGTATTGTCAGTTTACTTCCTTGTAGAGTTGAGTTACATGTATACTGTGTACAGTAGACTCACACCCTGTGTTTGCCGCTGTTATGTCTGTGTGTAATGTTGTTACGCTTTGGTTTTGTATTTTGACTACGTGTGAATTCGCCTCAGGATTACGACAATATGGGTAAGTGCATCTTATCATTTTGTATTTCACGACGGCAGTGTTCTAAGTCACACGCTGAAAATCGTATTTGGAATTCAAGAACACATGTATAAATATAGTGCATATCTGTGCACAGTAAATCAATCTGTTTAGTTTGTAAACCTGATTGAAAAAAAGACAAACGTTTAGCCATGTTTAGAATTTATACTTGAAGACGTTAGTGCACATCATTGGACAGTAAGTCATATACCTATATGTACTCCTCACAAAAAGAAACCCACAAGGAGAAAAGTGTGAAATAGAAGTCCGAATAATTGCCATTATTAACCTTAAGATAATTTTTTCGAATTCTGAATGGTCAATAGCCAAAGCATACGAAACCATGTAGGCGGTTTTGCCAGGATGTACGAACTGTACACCCCATCAAATCTGTCACGTCACACTCTACACCGGTTGTACGAATGACCTTGACCTTAGATGGAATGTGGCTGCCAAACCGCTGATCGCTTCGAAATTTTAGAGTTGGCGTATACAATTCTGGGTATAAATAGAGTTATACAATTGTTGCGATAATTTCTTATTTGTTTGTGCCAAAAGAAATATAAAAAAATAAATTGCTTCTATATTACACTTGTCCTTTAAAAAAAACTTAAATTCCATCATTTTTATCATAGATCCCTCTCCTTTTGACCGCCATCCCGAAACGTTTTATCATTCCAGAAAAATAAATGGTTTTTTTTATGCTAAATAAAGAGATCGACCGACCCTTGTAAATTCCGTATTTCCTCAGGTTTACGTTTGGGTGCATAACGTGAATTTGGATGTCAAAAGTCCAGAAAAGGTAGTCGGAACGAAACAAAATTTTGAAACTCAATACATCTGCATTCTGCGTGCAAGAATAAATGTTGACTGTGATGTTTTGAAACGCAAGATATGCCGCCTGAAAGCGGGAAACAGAAAGAGATCGGTAGACAGCGTGTTACCAATCCGCCCAAACCGTGACATACTGGTACTTGATAGAATAGAGCCAACGCAGGCCTCCACGCCAGTCGTGCAGTTCGACGGGTAACTAATATGATGTTTGCAGACGCGTTTACGACTCGAGATGGTTTGCTGATGGAAGCATAACACGCGGTTACCGAGGAAGTACACAGGTTTAATGATGGAAGCGTGATGTTGTGGGCTACCGTCTCCTATTATGCAAATACCAACAAAGCGTTCAAGGTTCACTGCAATTATTGTCACTTAACTAGTAGTAATACAATTAATGCTATGCACTAAAACACACCCATATGTTAATTACTGGAAAGTAAAAAGAGAAACAAAGCCAACCAAATACAAGCAGGTTCTGATTAACAAAGTCAACAAAATAAAGATGGCTGAAAACATTTCCAAGCAATGGCAAATACTTTGGTTGATGTGCTGTTTAAAAACCTGACCAATGGTGAAATCAAACGACTGAATGGAACATCAAAAGGACATAAATCTCGAGTCACCATCCAGTTCAGGGCAGCAAACTTTCGACAACAACATCAAATGATGCTCTGAAAGTGGATAAGGAATTTGCCTCTTTGGCTTCTTCTTTGGATTAATGGCTTATTTTTATAAAAAAGTCAATGTGGGGGTTCCTGAATATGAAAATGCAAAGGTTATATTTTGAACTGTTCACATGATCATTTAGACTGATTTGCTAGATTTGCTAGAACTTGTACCTTGGCCAAATTCAAACAATGAGACTTAAAGTGAACATAGAAAGCCTCGGGTAGGAGTTACTGTACTATTTGACAAACTGAGTGTTTATTCATCACTGCCATCCTCTGACAGAAATGGTAGAACCAGTGGTGGCATTTGCTGGACAAGTAGCCAAAGTGTCTAATGTGGGCTGTTCAACAACAACCAAAATCAAAACTTCCTTGCATGAATATGTTCTTGGTATTTTTAAAAATAACATACTGTCAATGTCCTTATTCACATTCACGTCTTTGTCTTCAGGATTAACGTGATAGCAACACGTACCTACTTTCGTGTGTACTCCTCTACAAGCTGTGGGTTTCTTTGGATTGGTCGATGTTCAAGATACAGGTGAGATTTTACATTCATACTTTTAATGCATACATTTTGTTTTAAATGGCACTATTTGTGTACATCTTGTATGCTACTTGTAAGTGTTGCACTGGAAGTTTCGATAATCTTCAGAGTAACTGTCCCATAATAAGATACATGTACATGTGCGTGAAATGGCCAAGACAATTAAGTAAGTATAAAGTACACCAGTACAAAACGCAAGTATGTGTTTGATCACAAAAGAACGGGTTTTACAAATATACAGCCACTGCATTGGAAAATCGTTGATCAACGTATTCTTAATGTCATATGCCCGATTTACAACAAAAGCAATTATGTATAATATTATATCCATGATGTTCTGTATGCGTATCAAATCGTACTTGCTTTGCAGTCGACAGTCACGGCTGACTTTCCAGTGCAAGCCAGGGTACAGATCAGATGATAACATAGGATGTCCACAGTGAGTTCTGTGTTCTCTTCCCCAACTCTACTGACAGACATCAACGTATTGTATTAACACTGTCTAATTCACTTTCACAGTCCCTTAGAACATACCAAACTTATAGAACTACATACTTTCAGTAGCACATGCTATAAGGTTACCGTAAAAAGAATATATCAAAACGTCAATTTGACCAAAAATCGACTTCACACATTGCATATATAGTATGCATTTGTGGGGATCGATTCCAAGGCGAGTGAATGCTCTAGTTATAAGGAAACTCCATCGAACAACGGTAGACATAGATTATCATCAATGATATCCGAGATAGTGTCAATGAACTTAATACAAAGAGTGATCATATACTCAAAGGAAAAAGTTGGTATTATTGTATTTGTGTTGTTTAACACCGCACTCAGCAATATCCCGCTTATATGACGGCGGTCTTTAAACAATCGTGTCGGGACCATACAATCTAGTGATCAGCAGCATGAGCATCAATTTGCTATAAAATGGGATATGAAGACATGAGTCTATCAAGTCGGCAACCCTAATCACTCAATTTATAATTAGTTAGACACCTCTGTCGATAAGTATGGATTGCTCTTCACAGGCAAAAGTTTAGTATCACACACAAACAAAAACAGTCTGTTCTGCGAATGACTGTTATCATATGGAAACATAAACGTTCAAGGAATGGTAGCAATCAACAGTCCATTCATCTGACATAAGCAAATGAATCACAACGCAAGAGCGCCTTCACAATAAAGTTAACCATTTCACTTGGGAATGTGTCCACCTTGTGCACTGATGTAGGCCTGGCACCTTTGCTAGACAGTGAACGATGGGCAAAACCATTACATATTCGAGGATGGATTAGACCAATTTTTGTGCAGCGTTGTTGGGAATTCAGGTGATGTAGTAAACGTCGCTCCATCTCATCGAAGACGTGTCCACTGGGTGGTAAATCAGGAAATCTTTAGGGCCTGAATAACACGTTTTCATTACATTTCTGACTCAGACAATTATTGCAAATCGGACAATGTGTTATGTTGAAATGTCTCCCCAGGGTCTTATTGTTGCACAAACAGTAAAGTGGTTATTTGCAAAATCGGTAAAATGTTTACTTGTGCGCCTGAAGACATGTATTCGGTGAAGGAGAACACGTAACCGATAGGATGAAAGAACTCCTCTCCACTCAAGTGCACTCAATGTTAAGTGCTGTCTACCCCACCAGAGACGTTGACTCCAATTGAATCGGAATTGGTCGTCAGACTGGATGTCATGGATGACAAGGACTCGTAGCTGTCGTCAAACTGTTCTCGCAGATACACCTCTGTTGCCAGGTTTGGTATAGGCTTTAATAGTTTATGTTTGGAATCCATGGCAGAAGTGTATGGTTCGAATCCATCGATCTTGACGTGGGGTCCTTGTTATTGAGGCAGACGGGGGCAGTCTTTACCTTGATTGTTTGGTTGAATACGTCGCCATACGTGCTAAATGGTGTTTTGTTGATGCTCAATCGACGAACAATGTGACGTTGCCACGTACCAGGCTAGATAATACCTATTATAGCTCAACATCTGTCAATTTCTGCAGCGCTTGAAATGTCGAACTTGTTAAAGAACGATGAATAGAGGTGTTTTCCTCACTTCAGTACTTCATAAGACTGCACTGAGGGGAAATGGTTCTGTCTGTTACTCTGGTCTTTCTAAGAGGCCCTTTTTCTCGGTGTCATGCGTCTTGCAAATTTCGTGCAGCTCGAACAAATGCTTCGTTGTGTTTGTTCGACCACTTTAACACACCTCAGGTTAAATCCAAATATTCATAACTTTTCGTAGCTTTTTCCTCTGAGTATACTTGACTACAGCGAAATAATTATTCAACTAGTCGGACTTTGGCCCTCACACAACAAAGGCAGTCCTGGTGTGCCGGCTTTTCCGGTGATACAATTAGTTGTCACAAATATATGTTATCATCATTGAACAGAACAACCTGGTCTTCCTTCATCCCGGATTGAGTCGTAACTCATCTTATACACGCTGTGACCACAGCCTCATTTACAATTTGTTCATCTGTTTATCTGATCTCTTTACTTCCTTGTTTAATACCCGTACTGTACAAGAAAATCATAAACTATTGTTCGCTCGTTGCTCTAGTTTAATCTAGACTAGGCAAACCAGTGGTTGATGTCATAGTCAACATCGCACGCCCCCTGGATAACACACAAACACGAACAAGTTGTCTCTATTAAATGTGTGGCATTCTGGTGCCTCAATATATCCAGAAATTACAACACCACACAACAAAAATGAAGCGAATGTCTCGGAAATGAAGCGAACGTTTCGAGTATGACAGTTTATTGTGTTCAATGTTGACGCGTCACATATTTGTGACAAAGCCTTTTCCTTAACAACAGACAAAAGAGGTGGTATGAGCAAACCGACTCATTTCCTGAAAACAAATTAATTTGCTAAGTCAAGATTTTAAGGGTTATGTTATATCTTTATCCATGCATACGTTTTTGTGAGTCAATAGCGTGGCTAATTAAAGTAACTCTCCGACGAATAGTCGGATGCAACTTGGTCTGATGCAATGATGCGTAAAGATTCTAAATGTTATGTCGCAATTTGATCTTGAAAATATACATTTTCATTACTTTATTTCATTTATTGGTCTATGTAATAGTGGGATATTATCCCAACCAACTGAACGGTCGGTGTTTTCATTGCTTTATTCCGTATATGCTCCCCTTTGATCTGGCCTGTGTAATCAATCAATTGCTCATTTTACCTTCTGCTTTCGATCTGGCCTTTCAGGCGTACTGGTCATCGACGTTGATCTGTGACGGATCAATCAGGGGTATTGCTCATCATATACTGATTCTTTCTCCGATCCAAATTCGATAGGCGGGAAGATTGCAAGGGCAATGGGAACTCTGTATATCGCTATTTAATTCGCATAAACATTTTGGCTAATGATTTTTCTGATGAACTTTGAAAATAACGACGTTGTTGTGACCGTCCTCTGGAATCGAGAGTGCAGGACCATCAGCAACTGCCAGAAAACAGAGGCATGTACCACAAGTCGGGACCAGATGTGTTCTGAACTCTCATGTGACGGAGTCGTTGACACGAAATTTCCTTCGCACGTCGACTGCCGAGGGACACAGAGCATATACTTACTTACCATCGTCAAACAAGAGAATCATGTACACGTATGTTGCATGTGTGTCATCTCTAGTAATGCTACGTTTTAATGCTGACAGTGCCCTGAAGAAAGAATGTGAAGTTTCTTTTTGACTCAGTATATTAAAGAATAACGCAAACATGAAACTGCCCCAACTCCGTTTCACTTGTTCCTTGTTCCATTTAAACGTGTTTCTTAAAGGAATGGCTCTGATCGTTTTCTTATAGCTATATAATTCTCTTTTTTTTAAATAGGAGTAGTAAACATGTTCCGTTTTCAGAGACCTGTTCCTGGCGTAGTGACAGTACCAGATGTTATCCAGGAACCTGCAAGGGAGAGTATGCTAGCAGCTGTTCCTGTTCAAGTGGCTTCACTGGACAACACTGCCAGACAAGTAAGTAATAACCTGATGAAGTGCGTCGGACTGTTTTGTATGTCATGACAAATTCAGTACTTCAACATTCTTCAGTACAAGTTCAAGTCTTTTCATGCCAATACTAATTTACCTTCCAGTAACAACAGAACCGACGATAAACTCCAACGTCTTTCGTTTGACCACCAGCAATGGGAACACAGCCAGGGAACCTTCCATCATCAACAGTGGCCAAATTCAGTCCACCACCTGGTCAAACATCAGGTCTCCATCCAGAATGTACTACAAGTTTACGGCAAAATACAAAATGGTACCTCCATCCAGACATGCCTTCATTGAAGACTTCCGTGTTGGAATTGTCGGCGGCTCCGCATCATTCAAACTGAAAAGACGTACGTCATCAACTACCTCTCAGAATATCATCCACATACACATTACGTAGAAGTTTGTATTTATGATCTTAATGTATTTACACGTGCACGTTGACTTGTTGAATCTTTTTTCATACAGGGCGGCGTGTTGTTTCAACCAAGGTGTCTGTCTGTGGAGGAGCCAGTCAAAGCAGCCCGGAGGCAGACCTGTTTACCTGTGAAGGAAACCGATCAGTGACGTCTGTACTAACTCTACCCTTCCAAGACAAAGACGTGTTAGTAGAGACCTAATTATAAACCAGAAAATAGCGGAGAGGCGTATAATTCGGTTTTATTGCACTTTGTAAAATGTTATGGGTGATTGATAAGGGGTCTAGATATGTTTAAATCAATCGAAATTACAAAGGCATGGAACGGTTTGGTAGTTGGGATTATAGCACAGGCTCCAAATAAAACCCTAGCAGCATAATTAAATTTGCTTCGTATAGATATTGTTCTTCCACAGTATTGTGGTTTCCTACAAGGCGAACAACGGTGGATATGTTAAAGTCCGCAACAAAGAGACAAAGAACCTTGCGACCTTCTACTACAGCGGTGCATCACAGACCCGTACATTTACTATGACCATTGACCTGGTGCTTCCCTATCACTGTACGGGTAGTTCTACCTGTGTTGGCAGCATGTTGACAGCTCCAAATGCTATCACAACAGTAGGTATTTGACAAGTTACCTGTTATGCGAACACATACACTCTCTTAAACCGTACAATGCATCTCTAAAAGTACACACCATCATTCTTGCAGTCCACATTGAACCTCCGCTGGAGTGGCTGGTCGGATACTGATGCAGGAGTCGACCACTTTGTGAGGGAAATGTATGAACTCCACGCTGTTGGGGATGTACTCAGAGATAAACGTCGGATAGACAAAAGGTCTTTTACAAGCTCCAAGGTGAATGATTATTTTCATACTTGTGACATTGGTTATTTTAAATCTGATGAAAGAATTGTGAAAGGATCTTTGATGTGCAGTATAGTAGCATATCATGCGTCAGTGACTAATCTCGTAATTTCTTAAACGTGAAGAACAATAAGAACACATCATTGACTTCTGCATAGTGAGACCTACTATTATTCTGCAAGATGTTACCTTAGTCGTTCCAGAATCTGATGACTGTTGGTTCCCACCTCAAAGTATACCGTAGTATGATTTATCCTTGTTAAAACAGAACTCCTACACTTATCTGTGACCCCGAAGTATTGTTTTAGGGTGTTAATTTTCGTTTTTGTTTGTCAGACCAGCGACAAGTTCAGAGTCTCCAAACCCGGGGTGTTTTCTGTAATCTTGTCTGTCTATGACAAGGCAGGTAATTACAGACGTACTCGACGAATTGTGGTGTACGATGGTACTTCAACTGTAACAGCTCAGGCTAATAAAAAACTACGTGTGATGACAACATCGGCCGAAGCGTCAGCGTGGCAAACGACCTCATCTGCATTGACCATAGACTGGACCAACAGATACATCAACACAGTCCACCACAACAACAAGTGGCTCCTTGGTGTGGCTTCACTGGGTGACATCAGTTCGGACTATGACGATAACGAGGGAAGCAGAGGTATAGGTGAAGTCAGAAATGTTCAAGGTATGTGGTGAACTAGAATTCAAGACATATCAATGATGTGTTCTAATGTTATATAGAATCATGCCGTGGCATAAACGTTAATGAGTGAAGCTTTCACTTCTTAAAATGCGAAACTTGATAACTGCGTGATTACATATTCGGGATTTTTCTAGGAATCACACGTTTCCGAACATCTTACAAAGTCGACCACCAAGGAGGGTCGTCCATCACCAGTCCACCAGATGATAACCTGTTCACCAGTCAAGGTTTGAATCAGTCAGAGACCATTACACACACACTAGTGGACGGGGACACTGTTCGCTTCTGGGTACGAGCCTATGACATCTTATCGGACATGACAGAGGAACATGTGACAGTCCACATCGACACATCACCTCCAGTCATGGAGAACCTTTGGCTAACGAGGAGCGGCAGTCTCAACATCAGTGTACATCGGGTAGAGGAACTTCATGACGTAATGTGAGAACGTATATAGTAGTTCTGCTATTTCGCAAGTCGGTTTTTAAAATTTCGTCTTCAATAATTTCAGCAAGATTATACACACGGGTTTATGCTGAAGGTTTTGGCATTGTGCAAAGTGAAATATACCAGAAATACAATGAGGTGAAATAGATTTATATTCATGAACATTCCGCCGTAACGTTTCCAAACACTTTATCAAGCATGTCTGTATCTGACCCTAGAATGGAGTTTGATGTGCACGATGAACACAGTGGAGTGGAAAAGGTGGAATGGAGAGTCGTAGAAAAACAACAAGACGAGGACATTGTGTTAGCTGTCCATGACATCTCTATTCAAAGCCACCTGGTATGTCACTGTTTTAAATTCGTGTCTAGAAGTTAATGGTACAATCTGTAACCAACAGAACGAACCTTGGATATCAACCAACTCTCCTCAACATTCTTATATAGAAAAACTGTATCCAAAAAGGAAGTAATTACTTTAATGTCATTATATATGCTTGATTTAATGAATGATTTCAGACTCTGGATGACTGCAACACCATGCATGATGCAAGAGATGGAAACTGTTATTGTACTCCAGCTGGCACATGTTATCATCCCCACTTCCAAGTGAAACCAGCCCTGGCAGACATAAGGGACGTCAAGCTGGCTGAAGGAAATGAATACTGGTTTCAAGTCACAGCCACAAATTATGCTAAACTCAAAAGTGAACAGAAAGTAAAGGTATACTTGACTTGTTTGTATATAACACACCCCATGTGACAATGTTAAACTAACGATTATAAACTTGAATGGAGTAACGCCTAACATAACCCCCATTCGTGATTTTGAAAAACAAGGACAAAATACCGACAGAGTTAAGAGCATTCACAAGGTAAAACACACTTAAGGATGCTATATTAATATTAAGATAACAAGTAAGCTCACGTCAATGTTTGAAGCAGACAGTTACACGTTCAACTCGGGCCGTTGACAGACAAAACTAAATAGCCACAAGTTAGCAACCAATCGGGACGATTGTACAACTGATCCTGACATACACAGAAACTATTGCATCGTACAGAGTTAAACAATTATCACTACGACAGTCTCACTAGGTACGGATTCGTCACTTGGACAGTCGCGTTAGGCTTGAAACATTTTACGCCCGATATCCTAAACCATATTGACTGATGCTAGTATAAGACATGTGTGGGCAAAAGGATTAATACAATTCGTCATACATATTGGTGTAGAAAGGCAGTGGGGACATATGTGTGAAATCCAGGTTTTGATTGTGAATTAATGTAAAATGTCGAATTAATGTGACGATGTAAAGTTCTCTGAGAACGTATTCCAGGGCTGTGTAAACATACCTTAAATGGAAATGATAGTCTGGTGAAATTGAACATTCACTGTTTAGATCCAAATGGATGCAAGCCCCCCTCAGCCAGGCTTCGTCGACGATGGTCTGTCTGGACAACCGGAAGTAGACTCTCAGAACAGTCTACAGCTCCACGCCCACTGGGAAGGATTCTTTGACAGAGAGAGTGCAATTGCCTTCTACCAGTACACGTTCGGACCAAGATGTCTTCAGGGACACGAGTTTGACCTCAACAAAACCCAAAACGTCAGTCCTTTGTTGTTTGGTAGTAAATAGTGCAGCCTTATTCATAACGTTAACATAGAAATATTTCTTAGCGGTTTAGGAAAACCGAATTTATTGCTATAATAGCATTTAAGTTTGTTTGTCAGCTGTGAGGGTCCACAACGAGTATTACTATCGTGTCCGCATTGGTCTAGCGTAATTTGGATGACATGCATAAACCAATCAGCGGTCTGACCACACGATCAGACAAGCGTTGGCTACTGAAGACCAATAATCTAACCCGGATCTCATTGTTAGATTGTGAGAATGGTTGCCGTATTCACAACGTTAACATATAAAGAATACTTTATGAATAATTCTTTTAAAATTTCATTTCCTTCAGTAGTAAGTGTAATGCTGCCACATGTCCACTCTAAGAGTACATAACGAGTATTAATTTGGTGTTAATTCTCTGATGGCAGATGGAATCAACACGCACTACTGAAGTCACATGGGCAGCACCGTCTTGTGGAACGTTTTACATAACTGTGGTCGCCTATAATGGAGCTCAGCAGAGAAGCGATGCGGTTTGTTCAGATGGAGTGGAGACGTGCAAGCCCTCTCCTATCTTCAGTAAATCAGAAGGTAAAACCACCCTGCTTTTTACAGTTCTTGTCGTCATCATGTACATCATCTTAAAGAAATGTAGCAAAGAGGGTTCGCTTGGTCCTGGCACTGAGGCTGTTTCGGTTCATCATTAGCTCAGGGCCCTTGTTCCTTCACATTGAGCCCAGATAAATGGCGGTCAAGTTGAACCTCAGGCCTTTCAGAGAAAGTGTACGCTCCATACTACTGAAGCTTTCTTCCAAAGTGTGTCACTCACAGCAAACTCTTAATTTTGTAAACAGCTTATAACTCAACGTGTACAAGGCTTAAATAGCACATAGCACAAGACTTAAATAGCACATTTCTATTGTTCAAGGGATCGTTGTAGGGAATATTCCAGTAGGGTGAGATTCTTTGGGAACCAAGTTGCATGATTGTATATGGATTTAGAACATGTTTTTCCCATTCACAACGTGTTATGGATGTCAAGGAAATAATGCAAGAGTTTTCCATCGTGTGCTCGTGAACATCGTCAAGGTAAAATTCGAAATGAAACGTGTCAGTGTGGTGTTGTACATTTCAGTCATATAAACCAGATGGAAGGTTGTCCTGAGATTGGTTAATGCTCAGTGTAACGTACTTTGATATGCGACGTCCGTCACGCCAGGAACAGCCTCGTGGAAGACAGAGCATTGTGACAACAGCTCTTAACGTTTCGGGCAGTAATTAGAAGATTACAATCCTATATCGATAGACAAATAACGTCAGCTGCGCTCAAAACCATTTCATCAGAACAACTATGTTACTAAATCGTGTCAAAGTGCTTCTCAAATTAGAGATGAGCTTCACACAGCTAAAGGTGTTACAGTGAATGGACGGACTCATCCTTCATAGGAAGTTACACAGATGTAACCTGCAAGCTCGACGTCCACGTGTTATCCCACGATTGACGGACCGTCTCCTTACTGTACTTCTTGTTGATGTCAAGAGCGACAGAGCTGGAACAGTCGTCGATGGACAAACGTTAGATTTTTGGATGAAACAAGGTTTACTTTGGACTTCTTTGACGGGCGCAAGTGCGTGTGGCCTATACAGGCTGAACGTGTTGTGTTTTTTCTCAGTAATGGTGTGGGGTGGGTTTAAGGTGACTGGCAGAAGACACGTTATTCACGGACATGTTGATCGGCTGTACTGCCGTGACAACATCACACGTGGTGCCATTTGCGCGTCGACGTTGTTCTATGTGTCAGGATAACAACGCACGAGCACACGGGACTCGTAGTTTTACTGAGTACCTCCAGCTGTAGAATATTGACAACTTACATTTCCAGCACTCAGACCTAATGACATATCTGGGATATCCGTCACCGTCAACAGCCGCCAACCACTCTCAAAGAACCTGACACTGCCCTGAAGGAATAATCGAATGGAATGAAGCAGGTTGAAATTAGATGTTTCAGTGGGATTTGCCGAGTCAAATCTTGAGATTAGCCACGGATTCTCGCGATATTAATAAGTTTGACGTGTCATTGTAAATGGCGGGGAATATAATAGGGCGCTCAGGCCGATCTGACAAAATCTATGACAATATTTATCGCATAAAAGATATTAAATATCAACGGTTTTATACACAAAGAACTAAATTAAGAACTCCCTAACATGTCTCACGATTGAATGAGACCCGCTCTTAACCATTTGGAGCATATCTGGGACATTATATATTGGTCGTCGTGTGCGACAAATGGATCCTCCTGCACATAACCTTGCCCAACTGGAAGCTGCTTTACACGAGGAATGACGTAGACTGCCCATTCAGAGGATCATGAGGCTGACAAGGGGGATGAGGAGGAGAGTGCTGGCTGACATACAGTCACATGGCGGTTACACTTGGTATTGACCTTGAATCGTGTGCGACACGCAAAATGACATTTTGAATCTTCACATTCACCACAAAATTCAACATTAAACATTCCAGGGCAATATTTGTACAGACATGGTTCTGTATGAAAATCAGTGTTGCTGTTTTCTTTAAAATGAGCAATTATCATCAGAAACCGTTTTTTATGAGTCAAAGGATCGTGGTCACCATGAGAAGTTGTATGTACGTGTTGAAAACCTATCATTGCAAAAGGGGGTGCTTAATTCCCCAATTGCGTTGATAGTGTTTTGGATGTTACAGTCTCAGAATCTAATGCATTCAATTCAGTTAACTCAACGTAGAGGTCTGCATTCATAAAAGGCTGATAAAGTTCCCACAGTATCTAAAATAATATTTTACGGACGAATTTCAAAACTTAAAAGAAGTATTTTCTTCATAATGCAAGGTGCTAAGGTATTAATGACATTATGTAGATTGAGGAGAGAGGAAACTTCATGGCAATGACAAATTCTCTAATGAAACATGAAACATATTTCGTGTTGGAATTAAGCCTGAGGTGTCTACAAGATGCACTAACGTCAATGGTGAAAAGTTTTAAACCAGGCGTGAATTTTATTATCAATATTATTCCTTTATATTATTTGAATGTTTTTAGAAACATTGGCTTTCTAGATCTTATGTACATATTTTACTCAGACGTGCTAAAATATGTTTGTTGTAAATTCAACTGTTTATATACATCATCAGTGTACTGATTGAAGTTCATAACTTTTCATAACTACATAACTTTGAATCAAAACAAATAACATCCCAACTCATACAGTGCAAGAATACTGTAGTACTATTTTTTATAATAATAACACAAATTTCTTTTATAATTTTATTTCTTTTCACCGGTACATGTTTTACAACAAATAGATAGTTCATAGTTCAATACACATATTATCTAAACAAAGTGGGTATGACATTTCAGCAGCTGACGGTTATGACTTTTACAGGAGATGTATTGTTCAGGTAAATAGGCAATGACATATTGACCAGTATTTCATGAATTTGATGTAATCACAAGTTAACGATCAGATATATCTGTCTATATGATATGTATTGGTTATATCTCTTTGATATTTGAAACGTGGTGTTCGTTTCGAGAGTTTGCATTCAAAAATGTTGAATTTTGTTGTATTTATGATCAGATTGAAATCATTTCACTTTTCTTAATTGCCAATGAGGATATATTGTTTGGTAAAACCTAGTTATATTTCTGTCTTTTCCTCGATCCAATCTTCTAGTTCTCTCCAGATATGGCTAACTTTTGTACATTCGTAAAAGAGCTTTGTTATTGATTAATGTCAATTTTGCATAAGTCACATTTGCTATTATTCGTATATTTCATTTTATATAGGAGGTCGTTTGTGGGTAGTATTCTGTAAATGATGTTGTGTTGAAACCATTGTAGTTTGCTGTTTGCATGTGTGCGGAAGGGTATATAATGTATGGTTTTCCATTCCTGTTCTGTCAGGGTACATCTGAGAATGTTCTCCCATAATACAACAATTTATTATTGACAATACCGGTCTCACCCCAGGAATGATGCGTTATGTTAAACTCATATTCGCTGCCCTGCTCGTTAAACTGTCGTCGGAATTGGGATACCTCTTTTATCAGACAGTATTTGCATTGGTGATTAATCAGGTTGGAAATTTGTTGTCATTTTGACTTTATGAATTTGTAATGTGTATATCATATCATTCTGAACACCAAGTTATAGGATTTTTAATATCGCCATATATTCCTTCAGGTAACTCAATGGTCGGGAAAAACCTTGTACTCGTGCTGTCGGCTACTGCGTCAGCTGCGGTTGCAGTTGCAGTTGCTGGCATGGTCGTTGGAGTTGTTGTCTGGAAGAGGAAACGAAGGTACTGTATTCTGTTGAAATGCCTCCAATGAAACGTTAGTGTTATCCATCAGGTGCGATTAACTGGATATCATGATCAGACACAAGATGCAAATCATTACGATGTCACTTCGTGGGGTCATCTTTTAGCTCTCTACATCTTTGCAATGTCTGCCGGTTCAATACAATGACTAACTCCCATATATGTTTAGATAGTTTATTTGTAATTCTGTGCCAAACATGGCTACTAATCTTTAGGCAATATATACTCAGCAGCAAAAACAACGTCAGTACAAATTCAAAATTAGATAGGCACTGTAATCAAATCATTACAGAAATGGATATAACAAGCGGATCAAACACATTTTTTTGTGTACAATATCTTAACACATCAATGAATAACAATTTCAATACATTACGTGAACGTTTGCAGTCCATTCAGACTCTTGACTTCAGTATCTAGTGTGACCACCACGAGAGGCAATAACTGCAGCACAGCGTCTATGCATGGAGGGCACCAATCGATTGATGAAATCCATTGGCACCTGGAACCACACTCTGATAAAGGCCTGGCGCAATAGATCGGCTCTGTTCGTCCTTGGTATGACATTATTCAGTCTCCTCTGAATTTCATCCCAAAGATGTTCAGTTGGGTTTGAAACAGGACTAAGGGCTGGCCACTGCATAATGTTGATACCCATCTGCTGTAGGGAGTCCCGTGTAGCGCTGGCAGTGTGGGCCTGGGCGTTATCCTGCTGGGAAATGTTGTTCCGGTGACGTGCGAAATGTGGTATGACGTGGGGTCTGAGAGCTTGGTCGATGTAGCGCACCGCTGTGATGCCGCCTCCTCTCCCTGGACCAAGGTTCTGGAACACCGCAGGACTCACTCTCTGGTTCAGGCCTATCCCACCCCATACCATGAGGCTTGCACCTCCCCATGAGTCTCTTTCCATAACGCATTGGTCTGAGTAACGCTGGCCACAGCATCGCCATATTCTTGTTCTGCCATCTGTAGTTGATACGCATTACCGACTCTCATCTGTGAACAGAACAGTTCTCCATTGCCTGTATCGCCAGTTTTGCTGTTGAAGGGCAAACTGTAGACGTTAACGCCGATGACGAGGGGTTAGGATATGTCCACTGCAATGGAGGTTTACTGCAATGGAGGTTCCTGCTGTTAAGACGTCGGCGTACTGTATCAGTACTGATTGTTCTTCCGTGGGTTACCACTGTCTGGCGTGCTGTTTCGGATGCCTGCATGAAGGGATTCTGTACATGCTGTCGCACAACATGGCCGTCTTGTCGTCTTGTGGTCACCCTTGGTCTGCCAATACGGCGGCGATCATCTGTGGTGTTGGTGGCCCGGAAACGTTGCTGCAGCCTGTAGTTGGTCCGAACGTTGACCTGGAAGTGATTGGCAACGGCTTGTGCAGTGTGGCCAGCTTCACATCTTCCTAGCGCCTGGTTCCTCTGGGCTGTCGCGAGTCGCAGCATCCTGATGACTTTGTAATGTGAATGTTTCAACCAGGTTTGGGGTGCATTTTATAGGGCTGGTCCTTGTGAACAGCACGTGCAGCATGAGTTGCATGAAAAACATTGAGAACACCGTACCATCTCCGAGATCAGGTTGCGTTTTTGAGACCATTTCCTGGGTTCCATTCTGAGTTTGGAAAGGAATGTCTTTGCTCAGGTAAAGTTGGAGATGTTGTGAAAAATATACAATAAAACATTAAATGAGTTTACAGTTATCCGTTTCTGCGAAGGGAAATTCCAAACTGACGTTTCCTTTGCTGCTTATTATATTTAATTCAGTAGTCATGTCAAGTTTCTGTAGTGAGGTTTTGAGTAAAATTACGGCTGAAACATCTCACCTCAGCTATTTAGTGCTACACCTGGGGCATAATGTGCCTTGATGTGCATGTATTGATGTTATTTTATCATTTACAGAGGTAACCCGGAGACTTCTGATCAAGCTGTGTACTACAACACAGGGTCATCTAAAAATGATAAACCTAAGAAGAAAAAACTGAGAGACAAAAGGATTAAACCTGAAGCGAAGGCGTATGACACGCTAGACGTAAACACACGCGAAACAGTCCCGGAGGAAGAACCATACTGTTCTATACAGACCTCTGGGTCGGACCAAACAGAAATGTATGAACCCGTGGAATGTCAGATAGAGGTTAACAGTGGCGAACCAGACCCTGTTACGTCCAACAGTACATCAGATGCCTTATATGAAGAAATCTGAAATCTAAATGAACTGTCACACACACGTGACCAAGCTATCCAGACCAAGCGATCTAGTAAAGCCAGATTTGGTGCCTTTAACCAGCCTGTCCTACATTACAGTATCTGAAACAAAGATTTACTATAATCAGTGTCCATTCATCTGTTTGATAGAATAGCAACATCTCTCTCTCTCTTCTGTCAGTATTCGGGAAGCAATTCTTCCAACATCCTCGTGTATTCCTTATTGTGAATATTTTTCGCTCTTTAAAAGCAGCAGCATTTGCACATATATATCGCAATAACGATGAAATGAGGTAGCAGGGAAATGCTTATTTGTCAAGTGTTCAAACTTAAGTACCAGGGCCCCTTTTCACAATCCTCTCATAAGCCTAAAATCTCGTAACTGTTCTCGTAGCATTTGTACTTTCCTATACTGTAAGATTGACTTAGATACTGTCGTAGCGCTACGAGAGCTTTGTGAAACGGGGCCCAGGTGTAAGTTCTGAGGCCAAGATTTAAATTGTGCAACATTTTTGCGCATATTTTGACATACGTAGCCCGTACTGTCAACAGCAAAATAGTTTTGTTGTTGTTGAAGCTGTTCACTTGAGGTCATTAACATACTTGGAACACCGCACTCAGCAATATCCCAGCTATATCGCGGCGGTCTGTAGTTAATCGAGTGTGGACAAGACAATCCAGTGAACAAAGGCGTGGGCATCGATCTCCGATGACATGATTGTGTCAACCAAGTCAGCAAGTCTGACCTCCCGACCCCAACAGCCGCCTCTTACGACAAGCATGGGTTACTGAAGACCAATTCTAACCCAGATCTTCGCGGGTCTCATTAAAATTTACTTTCTTGTGATAATAACAAATGATATGATAAATAACCCATCCTTATTTTGATGTCATGGAAACAGGATACTAAATAGAAATGAAATGTTTTTACAGATATGGCACTATTGACTTTGAAGTGAGAACATATAATTATATTATAAATACATGCGTCTATAAATTAAACGTTTCTAACCATATATATTTGTATTTGGTAAATTATGATTATTCACTCATGCTTTCTGCTTCGTTTCACTGCTGTTTCATGTCTATTAACCAAAATACGAATAGCTCCATGCTTTAATACCATTGTGAAAGTGAGATATTCTGACTTCTATTGCATAAAATGCAAATCACAGCTCTGAAATTCTTCAATTGCTAAAATCTCTACCTAAATACACAGTAAATTATGATGGGACACGATATTTACCCTCTCATCACTCGTTTCTTATATTGTTATATTTCTTTATTGTCATATTGTCATCTTATCTGTCAGTTGTCACAGCCCATTGCTATGTTTCCATAAAACATATTTGGCCTCTTTCCCGTCAGCTCCATTAGTTTGCTTGTTTTGTTTCTTTGAGAAAATAAAAGCTGTTCTGAACTATATTTGTATTCTGAATATTAAATATTTAGTTCCAGTCATGGGGGGCGGTGGGGTAGCTTCAATTGCTAAAATCTATAAATAAGTTTACAATTAACTATGGGGCGACACAATATGTTCCCTCTCCTCAGAAGTCGTCGTCCTCAGAACGTTGCCAAACTCAACAGTCCAGCATTTGTGTTCTGTGACACCCTGTGTGACAGTTTTATGAAATTTATATAATCAGGGTGTAGGATGAACAACATTTCCATATTATCCTTGTTTGTACAACTGTGATTTGTTTTTGCGTTATCCTGTGTAGAACACGGCCCGATTGCTCAAAGGAACCATAACGCTGCGATGGTCGTAGCCCCCGTACTCTAACAGACACAGGATAGTCGTAGCACTAAGATCGCTTTGTGCAAGTGGGCCCAGGAAAATATTGATGACATGAAATACATATATACACGACAAACATGCAAACTAATTCCTTCATTTCGAAAGGTCGCTTTGTTTTCTAGTAGTGTTATCAAAGTTTAAGGAATATGCTTAAATCACGTTGTCTAATGTTATTTATTCATGACTGCTTGTCAATCCCAATCTTACCCAGTCCTTCACAGACGATCTCGAAGGAGTTCAGATTTCCCATGGAGGCGACTCTTGTCATCGACTTTTCACACAAAGACATGTACACAAAGAAAGTGTTTAATGTTCACTGGACATCATTTGAGGCAACTCTTCACGTGAACGGTGAGGAATTCATTTTTTGAGAAGCAAGATAAACTAGAAAACAGAAAGTTCCCAAGCGCAAGATGTGGTGTATTGTACCAATTTGCTACACTGTGAATTCCTTACACTTCCTGTACTGATTTTTCCATCACAAGGGATAAATATTTCAGTGTCAAAAGCATAAAGGATCTTTTCATAGTATTAATTATAATTTAATAATTGTGTTTTGAAAAGAAACAGAATGTCAGAAAATATTTGAATAATATGTTTTGCAAATAGATCGATGACATTTTAAAATTGGTAAATTAAATTAGTAACTACGATTGTTAGTGCCTGTGAAAAAAGGGGTTAAAGTGTTTGAAAATCAGTGTCCTTCTGAGAGGATATGTAAGTCCCCAAACGATTAAGGTATATGTATCTTACCACGTTTTTAATCGCAGAACAGGTGTTCTTTCATTTATGGCTAGAATCGTCTAAATTGCTAACAGCTGAAGGGATAGTGTAAATCCAGCTAGGGACCCTGCAGGGAGCAAATGTACTGTTAGTCCCCATATAATGATGATCTACCTTCAGTTGTTGGCAATCTATAGCTGTTTTATATTGTGATGTCTTCTATGGTTGAAAAGATTTAGATTGTCATACTAGTTTTATATCTATAACTGTGAACGTCTAGTTATTGTACTGTCCTTTGCTGACAGGGTTTTAATATTTTACTTTATTTGTTAAGAATCTATAACTTGTTTTTGTCACGATATGACTGAAATACTGCCGATGTGACTTAAAATCTTAACTCACTCACTCACTCACTTGTAAATCAACTATAAATTACAGGAACACCTAATTGTATGGTGACTCAATATTCAACTCTGATTCTGTACCCATAACAAATGATATATACCAGAGTTGTTGGTTCAAATCTCATTGTCCCCGATTCCGCTAATTCACATCATTGATGTGTTAAATGATGCCAGTCATAGTACCAGTGCACATATGATGTCGATAACACAAAAGTGATGGTAATATATCCACCTCTACCAAAGATGTGTTAGGACAGAAAGAAGCAGCAGAAAATACAATCAGACCGCGACAAACGCACTCACAGTTCATAATATTTAATATTGCTACCCTGCTTGAAAACATACGAAATAAACCTATTCATAACATTTAAAATACAAAACAGGAACAACGGTCATAAATAAAGCCATCTTCAGTTGGCATTTGGATATTCAATACTAAAGACAACGATCTAGGTTGTGTAGAAACTACCCTGAATGGATATGTCATATCTTTTATCAAGTTTAGAAGTTCGATTGTAAACTATGTGAAAACGTCTGAATATTTAATGTTGCTGGAAGGAAGAGAAAAGACTTTCGGATGTCAAACCGTGTCATGTTTTAAACCATAGCTTAAACAGTAGACTATTTTCATCAGCAGGCCAAGCGTCACTTCTGACACAGGTGAGTTAAAAGTCCTCAAAAACGCCCTTCGTCATTCAAATTCTACCATTTGTCTCCTCTCGAATTCATTCCCCATGTTGTGTTTCTTACATCAATCATGTCGCTGGCGAAAATATATGCCAACGTCCATATTGTCGCCAACGTCATGTATGCAGTGGTTCGTTCTTCTATGTATATGATAGATTTGTAGATGACCCAAATATTGTTAAAGCGAACATGATAAGAAAGATTATTTTCGTTGTCCCTTCATTTACCCTCAGCTTTCGGATATAAGGTGCTATTGTTCCTTCTATAAGAATGGATATAGTATTGAAACTGAGGAAATACAAATTTTAATGATTTTAATCTTCTTAAACAATCTGAAACCAATAAAGTTTGACTATATGAACAGAGTAGTGTGGTTATATACCTCTGATACTCTAGCTTACAGCTGGTGATAGACAGCTGTTTGAACATTTCTGTTATTGTTTATGATGTGTTTTATATTATATTAATAATGTTAATAATGCTTGCCGCAACTGTTGTGTTAGTGAGTAGGAGACCGAGACAGATAGACGGACTGACCGACTTGCATTTCGAGAAAAAACAAACTGAAGTTAGAACGTTTGCAAACTGCCACTTTGTTGTACCTCAACGAGGCTGAACATGTATTTCCTTTATATTGTTTGATGCTTTGCCTTGGCTCTAAGTAGAAAACCGATTCTAACGCCCTTTAACCGCACGTTGATCAAGTTGAATATTCGTAGGAGATATGCTTGGTTGTGTTAGATACATCTATTCCATTTCAATGTCATATATGTTCTCGCCACGATATGGCTGAAATATTGCGGAGGGGCGTTAAATGATAACTCACTCACTCGCTCACTGTTAGATATACAATGCTCCGTAAATGACGCTACCTGTCAATTTTCAACGTTCATTGTTCCTGATTAAACTGTTCAAAAAACGACTTTGGAAAAAACTATGTATAGCAAGAGTGGTGACATGTATGTATGATTGGTTGGTTGGTTTGTTGTTCAACGTCAAACTCAGCAATATTCCTGCTATATCGCGGCGGTCTGTAAACAATTTAGTCTCGACCAGACAATTCAGTGATCAACAGAATGAGCATCGATCTACCCAGTTGGAATACGGTGACACCTGCCAACCAAGTCAGCGAGCCTGACCACCCGATCCCGTTAGTCGCCTCTTACAACAAGCATGGGTTGCTGAAGATCAATTCTAACCCGGACCTTTGCGGGCCATATATGTATGGAGTTTCGTGAAGCTAGGTTGTGTGGCTTTTTAGATACATTCTCCGGGAAATATATGATTACAGACGGCCGGCCGAATGGACAGACTGACAGGTTGAAATACTGACGACAATATATTCCCCGTTGTTATATTCAAAGGAATAAAAGTCAACTTGCCCAGGTTTTGTATAACTGTAACAGTGATCATCGTGATCAACGTCAATATCATCATCAACAGCATCGTCGTCTCCCGGTTTTGGGGTCTGACGAATACCGGTAATATGTAGTTAACCTCGGCGACAATATGTGCCGTAAACGTTGGCATACATTGTTCCTGGCGATATGTGTGATATACGATATTGTTCCTGTCAATATAAGCCGTACGAGCGTCTAGTATCCATATTTCTAATGACTGCCCTACCTTTTTCAGACATCTGCGTATACCTTTCGATGACATGGCGTATTGGTGTGATATTGTAGTGTTGTGCCTTCATGTAGCTGCTTCCGTCGCAAGGGTGGACCTGCAGCAGTATGCGAGACAACCATTCGGTCCAGCAATGTGTGACTTGCTCTGTGGGCAGACTGTTGGATGTTCAGCCTTCTCTTTCTCAGCATCCCATCTGACCTGCCAGATAAAGAGTACGACTATACCTCATCACGATACACAACTTCATGAAGTTACTTCAACAAAGGTTAGTTCTAAAACGTTCAAGCCACTCCCGCCGTTTAATCATCCCTTAATGACACTTCACCCTCCTACTAAATTGCCCCTCCATCTCCTCTCCCTTTCTCATTTCCTCCCCCTTCCCTTGCCTTCCTTCTCCCAGCTCGTCTTCCTTTTTTTCCCATGCCCTCGTCCCCTTCTCGCTCATTTGCCCTTCCTCTCCAATCTCCTCCCCTTCTAGACTTCTTCGTCATCGCCCTAATTTCTCCATCGCACGTGGTCCACTCCCTCATTCTCTTCGGGGCGGTGGGGTTACCTTGTGGTTAAAACGTCCGCACGTCACTCGTGCGGTTCGATGCCCCACCGTGATATTGCTGGAATGTTGCTGAGAGCGGCGTTAAACCATACTTACTCACTCACTCTCTTTGCCTTAGATCAGGGTCGTTCTGTGAAAGGAAAGATTTTGTTTATTAATCAACAATGTGCAACCGGATACAACTGGCTCGTATATTCTGGTTCTCACTTCAACCTTGATGTGGCGATAACACCATGTTTTGGAATGTGATACAATACACCCCTCAGATGTACAACAGCAAATCCAGAAACACAAAAGCACAGTCACTCACTTGAATGTTTATTTGAAAATCTCTCATTGAAGTCAAATTTTCGTACTTGTTTCCTCAACACAAAAACTGAGGACATCCTGTTACGGGTCATGTCAGAATGAACAGTAACCAACTAATGAATGACTAACCGGAAGAGAGAGAAGAGAGCTTTCCCAAGGGCCTCAGGCCCCGACCGGGCCAGGGTAGAACCTGGTGCTTTACACATACACAATAACACATACCTTCGTTTTAAATATGAACCCAGTTTTGTCGTGAGGGCATGGTATGAGTAATGAAACTGTGAATCCAAAGCCAAAGGCGTGAGACTTGGCAGGTA